CCTGGTGCACCATAAAAAACGCCAAAAGTGAGGCAGCAGCCAAAGCTGTACTTAAGAACTGAGTTCATAAGACCCAGGTCAAAGAGGTCATTGACAACATGATAGAAGAGATGAAGAAGGCCAAAAGATGCTGAGCCCTGGAATAGCTTGATGAACTCTGAGGACTGCAAAAATTCATTTGAAGATCCAAAACAACTGGGAGAGACTTGATCACCAAAGCCTAGATCGAAACTCTCACATTTTGATCAACTCATGCAATAACAGCCCTGATCAACAGCAGGTGTACTAGGAGCTCTATTAACTGAGCATTTGTTGACAAGTATAAACTCTCCACTCGAGCCACTGCAGCTCTGATCTTAGTATACAATGCTGATGGGACAAAAAATCAAGCCAGTTCAATAACTGAGTTCATAGAGCTCAGACTCACGATTGAAGATCATTTAGAGTGAATCGATCTGGCTATAACAGACCTAGGGACAAAAGAGATCTTTCTGGGTCATGACTGGCTCATACATCATAACCCATTAATCAATTGAAAGACTGGGTGAATCACATTCATGAGATGCTGCTGCTGAAAAATTCCCTTCGAACTCTCTGATGAGGACCCTGAGGATCAGTAGAATGAGGAGATAGAGGATGATGAAACAATCCTCACCATAGATCTTCAGCAGGAACTACACATCTGAGCTATATATCATGCTAATAACTTGGCTGCTAAAGCCAATGAACAGAAGGCAGAAAGGACCTTTGAAGAAATGGTGCCTGACTGAGTCTGTGACTTCAAGGACTTGTTCGAAAAAGAAAGCTTTGACAAACTACCAGAATCAAAGCCCTGAGACCATGCCATCAAACTCATCCCCAATGCTAATGCCAATCTGGACTGTAAAACATATCCACTTAGCATCAATAAACAACAAGAGCTCGATAAGTTTTCAAATAAAAACTTATCCAGCAGATGCATCAGGCTCTCCAAATCCCCTATAGCATCACCCTTCTTTTTTGTTAAGGAGAAGGATGGCAAGCTTTGACTGGTCCAAGATTATCGAAAGCTTAACAAGATGACCATCAAAAATCGATACCCTCTCCTGCTTATCTCTGAATTAATGGATAAACTCAGGGGCACTAAATACTATATGAAACTTGATGTTCGATAGGGGCATAACAACATCTGAATTAAGGAGAGGGACAAATAGAAAGTGGCATTCAGAACAAACCATAGACTGTTTGAGCCCACTGTTATGTTCTTTGGATTAACTAATTCCCCTGCCATATTTCAGTGGATAATGAACAACATATTCAAAGATCTCATCTCCACTGAAAAGGTCACCATTTACCTTGATGACATCCTAATAATGTCCAAAATGAAGGAGGAGCATAGAGCATTAGTACAACAGGTACTAGCCCTTATGTGAAAGCACAAGCTATTCCTTAAGGTGGAAAAGTGTGAGTTCAAAGTCCTGGAGATAGAGTATCTTAGAGTTATCATCTTGGAAGAGAGTATATGAATAGATCCTATTAAGATTGCAGAGGTAACTGAGTGGCTAGAACCAACCAAGAAGAAGGAATTACAATCCTTCCTCAGATTTACAAATTTCTATTGATGCTTCATCTGAGACTACAGCAAGATAGTCTGTCCAATGACTCAATTAACTGGCAATGCTCCTTGGACTTGGGGCCTCTCCCAGCAGACTGCCTTTGATGACCTCAAACAATAGTTAGCTGAAGATGTCATACTCACCATTCTAACACAAGAAGAGAAATTCTGAGTCAAAGCTGACTCAAGCAAAGGGGCCATTGGAGCAGTACTCTTTCAGGAGCAGAAGAATAAATGGTGACCAGTGGTGTTCCTATCAAAAGCACTCATCATTATAGAATGGAATTATGAGATCTATGACAAGGAACTCATTGCCATTATGCTAGCACTTGAAGAATAGCATCACTACCTTATTGGGGCAGCTGAAGTCTTCAAAATTTGAACCGATCATCAAAACCTTTGATACTTTCATCAGCCTCAAAAGCTGAACCATCAACAGACCAGATGGGTCATGGAGCTGAGCCAATACCAATACATGCTCCACCATAAAGCAGAGACTGCCAACAAGAAAGCTGACTTACTCAGTCAGCAAGCAGACCACAACCAGAGAGGAGCTGACAACAAGAGAATGATTCTGTTATGGCCCAAGCACTTCAGGGCCATAATAATGCTGACAGAGGAGAAAATCCATAAGCACATCAAGAGTGCAACTCATGATAATAGTAAATGGGACCAACAGATGGCTCCCTCTCTTAACCATGAAAGAGAAATGATGAAGGAAGAAGGAATGATCCACTATGACAGACAGATTTACATCCCAAGAGATCAAAAGCTCTGTGGCAAGATTATTGCCACTTGTCATAATCACACTACAGCTGACCACCCCAAAATCACTAAGACCAAGGAGTTAGTACTGTAGGAGTACTGGTGGCCAAAAATAGAAAATGACATCACCATCTACATCCAAGCATGTGAAGTTTGCCAATAAGAGAAGTCATCAACTCAGGCCTGACTGGTCTCCCTGCACCCAAATGAAATTCCCTCATCTCTATGGACACACATCTCCATCAACATGATCACCAGTCTTCTCAACTGTAATGGATATAATGCAATTCTTGTCATTATTGATCATTTCTCTAAAGCAATCATTCTGATCACCTGTTCAATGAAACTAACTTCAGAAGGATGGGCTAAGATTCTCTATGATGAGATTTACATCAAATATAGCATGCCACAAGTCGTTATCTCAGATTAGAGACCACAGTTCATCTTCAAATTTCTCGATGACCTATATCAACTTTTGCACATCAAACACAATGTGTCCATGGCCTATCATCTGCAAACTGATGGACAGACAGAACATGCTAACCAAAAAATTAAGAAATATCTTTATCTCTTCATAAACTATCAATAAGATGACTGGGTTGAATGGTTGGCCCTTGCAGTGTTCTAACACAACAACCATATTCACTCAGCAACCAAAAAAACCTCATTCTTTATAAACCATGGCTGGCACCCTAACATCACTCAGACACAATGACACCACACCACTACACTGGCATCTGTGGATTTCACCTCTACAATAACAAAGATTCATGCTGAAACGAAAACAGTGCTAGAATGGGCCACTAAATCCATGAAAGCACAGTATGACAAACATCATCACCCTGCCCACAACTACATCACCAATGATAAAGTCTGGCTGGACATGACAAATCTGCATCTACCACAGCTAAAATGAAAACTCGCCAACAAGTGTACTGGACTCTTCCAAGTCTTATCAAAGGTTGGAGTGAGCATCTACAAGCTGTGCCTCTCTCTTTCTTGAAAGGTCCATAATGTCTTCAATGAGGCATTATTGACCCCATATATTGCATTCGCATTTCCAAATCAAGAAAAACCTCCACCTCTCCTGCCCAACTTGATTGATGACAAAGAACATTTCAAAATTGATCAAGTCTTAAACTACAAGCTGTACAAAATCAAAGTAAAGAGCAGAGGTACAACAACAACAGTTGACTATCTTGTCAGCTAGAAAGGATACAGCTTAGAATCTAATCAGTGAATAAACAAAAAACTCATAAATGCCAATGATGCTATATATGACTATAAAATATCCCTAAATTAAGCCATCAGGATGATGGTCTTAAGGAGGGAGTAATGTTATAATTTTTTTCATCTTCTTTATTTCAAATTTTTATTTATGCTTAGTCAAGGCACCAAAAGACAAGTGCTTAGAACCATAGAGAGGGCTTAGTCATCATAAGGCTGACTTCATCATAGTTTTCTGATGCAACTGATGACCAATAACAAGCATACAATCAACCTTTTATGTATGGTAACAATGCTCAAGGACAATGAACAATGAGGACAGAGAAACACACAATAAGCATAACATATTAATAGCATCCTATGTACAGTATTTAAAGGAGCTTGCTCTTGCTGATAATCCTCAGCTTTGAGCTAAAGTTTACACTTCCCATTCTATACTTGAGCCAGTCAGAAAGCCTTGTGACACACTGACCAGAGTCACATTTGTAAACTCAGCTGATTCCTGAAAGTGCAAAGGGACATCTGTTTATCACATGGTTTTACTCATGTGATGCTTGGGCATAACATCTATTTTTCTGTTCAATACCTATTTACTCAGATATCTTTCTTTGGATCTCAGTTCTCTGTTCTAAGGCATGTCTCATCAGTACATCAATAGCTGTGCATCTTTGATCAATGTGATCAGACTTGCCAATCATATTTCAATCGTAGTCTTTTTATTTTTAGCATGTCCTCTTGTAATAGTATTGGTGCATTTGGGGCCAAATGCTGGAATCTCACATGCAGCCTAATCCCTCTGGTATTAGTCTGTTACTAGGCCATGCACTCTGCTTATTATTACTTCAGTTTATCATTATGATAGCTAGGTTTCTGTGTGCTCTAGTTCTATTTTCTGTTACATGCTTACTGGCCTAGAATGCAGTCCATGTATTTGCAATTTTCACAATTTTACATGCCTGAACTTGGAGAGGGCATGTCATATCCCTTCCACTAAGATCTGGACCTTCCATGGTCCCTTCAGTAGGTACACATGTCTGTATTTCAATATTATCATGTTAAATTCACTGTGTTCTGTCATAGACACAATCACTGGACAATAGAACATCCTCTGGTCCACACAGAATCAGATCCTGAGCTTCAGCAATGCTGAAACATCCAACCAAGTTGCCCACATGTGTACCTGCTTACTTGCTGCTTCTCAATGGTATGCTGGTCTGGTTTGGGCACATACACATCGTACTTATATAAGAAATTCTCATATCTGATGATTTATCAGGCACAGGTGCTGTTCTCACACTATTTCTTTCTTTCTTTCCCCCTACTTCACTCTTCCAATGTCTTTCACACTGTTTTTCTAGCTTTCCTCATTATGATGATCTTTATCCCTTTGCTCACTATTCCTGTGATCACTCTTATGGCTAATCTCATTAGTGCCCATGCCTTTATGGCTGCATATTTCAATTCTTCTGTGGCAGATATCATAGAGCCCCAGGACCTCATCATTGCTGTTAACCAGGTGACCTCTTACTTGGTGTATGCTTACTTTCCACTCATTAACTTGCCATTCATGCCTACTTTGCTTCTATAGGCAGCATATCATGCTGGTCTCATGCATTTTGACCTGCATGACTCCAACTACAGTGTGTCCTTTCATCTAGAGCTTGCCAAACTCATTCAGCATATCCCTACTCATCTCCAATGCAAGAAGTGGAAAGCTTGGGCACTTACAGAGGTGGAGCATAAAAATTCCTCAGTATGTCCCCTTATTTCTCAGCCTGCTTTGCTTGCTCATATTTCCTTTATGCTAGTGGGACTATGATGCTTCTCTTCTTCTGTCTGGAGAGCTGGATTATAAGGATGGGAATTCATCCTCCATTCCCCACTGGCTCCTGCTCTCTTCATGTGCTATCTCTGCTCCCTCTGCTCCAGTGGTCATTGGCCCTACTGCCTTAGTCCCCAAAGTCATGGAACCTGAGGCTAGCTCATCTGGGTGAGTTCTGATCTTTGTTGCTCTTCTGTGTCTCTATTAGCTTATACTATTGTCCTACTTGCAGAGTCTCCTGGCCTACATCTATCAGGATCCCTCAGGTTTCAAGAGAACCTAGTAAGTTGCACTCTGTCTCTCTCCTTCTTACTGTAGCTCCTTTTCTTTTTCTATGTTTCCCTCCTGTTACTAAAAATACTATCTCTGTGGTTCTTCCAGCTGTCAGTTCTGGCTTGGTAGGTTATCTCTTTTCATATCCAGATTTTCACCTTCTCATCATCTTTGCCTTTGCAGAGAGTCACAGTGGTTCATAAACATCAGCAGGAGACAGGAATCCTGGCTCCTGTAAGTCAATCTTCCTTATTTTTCTTTGCCTGTGTTTATTCCTTCTCTCTTCTCCTAGACTGTATCTGCCCCTGCCTCTAAGAGGGCCAAGCCTATCCCATATGTTGTTTATATTACCTTCAGCCATATTCCCCTCATCTTCCATTTCCCTTAGTGCAGCTAGCTCATCTCAGTCTCACATGCAGCCTTTGGTACCTCTTTCCTCAGTTTCCCTGATCACCTTCCAGTGGAAGCCAATTCCTGGCTCTCTCAAATTCTCTGTCCCATCTGGTGTGTTTTTTCATTTCTTCTCTATGGTTTTTTCTTATTCTCTGGTTGATATTGTCTTCCAGCTCCACCTATTGATCATGATACCAGTACTCCTTCTGCTGTGGAGAGCGATAGGCCTGCTGGCTCTTCTCCATGCTCAGTCAGTACTCCTGATCCTGCTAGTGAGAGTTCTGAAGGTGCTCCCATAGAGGCTGTTCCTTCAGCTCTGGACAGCCTGTTATCTCCCTCTCTTCATGCATATCATCCCCTGACCAGTGAGCCTCTCCCTGGTATCACTTATCTTGCCTTTTTAGCCTCTCTCAAATCTGCTTCTCCTCCTCCTATACATGCATCTTTCCAATGCAAAGATATGACAGTTCTAGTGGCCTCTGGAAAGCCTCCTCACTCTCAGTGTATGCAGCAGTCTATTCTCACAGTTTCCAAAGCTCCTGCTAATATGACTGTGAGGGAGACTGTTAACTATACTATTTATGCATGCATCTTTCATCTGGCCATTGATCTCCAGTTCCATGAACCTCTTTTCCATCAGGCCCTAGAATATATGAAGCTTTCTATGCTTCCTGTTGCTCCTGACTCTTTGACCAAGTGAGTCCTTTCTTTCCATTTTTTATTCACATTCTGATTGTATTTTCTTTACAGATCATCTGCATGATTGCACAGTGGCTGAGAATACATCTACCATTGTCATTCCAATAAAAATCCTTATTTCGTCTATCCTTCTCTGGTATATTTGTCTTTTCTGTTCCTATTTCCTCACTCACTAGCTTTTCTGGCCATGCTTTAACTGCACTTTGGCTGGTTTCTCTAAGGAGTGCATTTTTGAGGGTGGAGTTGGTGAGAAGATCTGTATGTGCTGTAGATCCACTTGTCATGGCCATTGCTCTGCATGCTGGGATGCCAATCAGCTCTATCATGCCACTACTTTATTAGACCCTCTCACTCTCAGTGGTGATAGTGGTATGTTTTTTCTAATCTCTGTTTATTTCTGGTCTGCCTGATTGTCTTGCTCTTAGCTATTCATCATGGTGTTGACCATATCAAGTGTATCAAAGTCAAAATCAAGCTGCTCACAAGGTTTCTTCAGCTCTTGTATGAGGACTGGCAGCAGGTTGTGGGTGAGCTTACTGATGGTCTTAATGCCATTGCTTCTTATGAGCATGGTACTGAGATCATCGAAGCTTATGCACAAGTCTCTGATCTCTTTAAATCTTTCTTGGTACATCCTGGTTCTAAGGATACATCTATCAATGGGGATGCCATGGTGTCTAGCTCTGACACTGAGTAAAGCCTGATATCTCTCTTAACACATCTTGGATGCTTGTACTTCTTTCTGTTTCCTTTCTTTGCACTATGTTTTCTTGTAGATATTCTTCTTTATTTATAGCCGCACTCAGGGTCTTTAGATGCAGCCAGTAGTAGCACTCTGTTCATAGCTCATTGTCATATTGTGTGCTCTTTTTCTTACAGGCCTGTAGAGCTCTAGTATACCAATATACCTCTTTTGTTGCGCTTTTTTCGATTTCAGCTGAGCCTGAGTTTTATATTTCAATCTCTCTGGCTTACAAGAGCTCTGATTACCATGTTGGGCTCATACCTGAGTCCTGCGCATCAGTATTCTTTATTCATTATTTCTCCTTTTCTGTCATTTTATAAGCTGTCCTGTTGCTCTCTTCCAACCTGTTCTTCTTATTTCCTTGGTGGGATGTCGGTATCATTGCGTGTTGACTCTCCTTTAACTGTCTGGATCTGTCACTGCTATCAATAATTTGATTTTCTGTCATTATTCCATTATTTCTTTTTTATTCTTCTGTTTCTATGTCTAGCAGGGATTGCAATCACAAAATTTACTGTCTCTGTTATAGTAATACCCTAGGTATACCACTATATCCCCTACACCAAAAGCATCTAACTGTCCTCAGTTATAATTCAAATGATAATTTATTTATTTTATAAGGCCAGATCAGGTTTTCAAGTCTTGCACATGTCAAACATTAGTTTTCTGAGCTTGGCACCCTTAATGTCTGTCCTTTCTCATAGAATTTCTTTTTCTGTTATTATTTTCCTGATCAAATATTATTATCACATAGGTATAAAGGTTGAGGGTTTTTCATCTTGTTTTGACTCCACTCACCATCTCTCTTATTGTCTTTACTGTTACTTGTCCATTTCTTCTCCGTTCTCTGTCAAAATGATCCCTACTTTCATTGTTGTGAAGGCTGTCATCATGTCCCTCTGCAAGGATCCTGCTACTACTGTGAATGATCATTTTGATCAACTCCAGGAGTATACCGTATGTGTTTGTGCACTATTCCTGCCATTTTACTGACTTCTACCTGATAGTCTCATCTTGAGCATTATAAAAGCAAGCTCACCAGGGATAAGGACCTCAAGGAGTTGGTTTTTCACACTCACACTGCTATTGAAAAGGAATTCCATACCAATGCTTCCAAGCAGCCTAACCATAAGGTGCTCAAGACCATCATGAGATGGGTTCAAAGTGAGTGAGGTCAGCTTGCAGATGATGGGCCAGGTGCTCCTTCCCTTCCAACTGGCCCTTATTATGACCCTAAGTTGGTTTATAATCGTTTTCTCTGTTTAATAGCTCTTCTGACTGATTTTCTCCTGCTAGGCCAGAGTTATTGCATGCAATAAGGGCAAAGACTGTGCTATTCATCATTCTTGTGTCACTGTTGATACTGAGTCTGATGATGACAAGGATGACCCAGACAAGATAGCAGTCCATTCTGATTCTGATACTGAGTCTATTAAAGTATGTCTAGTCTTCACAATCTCTGCTTGACTATCTGAGGTCCAATCTCCTCAAGATGGTCATTGATGAGGAGGCCTCCAGGGCTGGATGGTTTCTGAAGTTTTTCAAGGCTAGGCCTAGCAATGTGGTTACTGAAAACAAGCATAAGGAATCCTACAAGGTCAGAGTCTTTGTATGTTATCAGTGTCCCCTTCACTAAGAGATTGTAATTCTAGAAAGAGCCATCTTTCTGTGTGCATTCTGGTGCCAATAGTCATTCTTTTGCTGATTGCTCCAACAAGAGTCAGGTATGTTGTCTCCTTTTCTTGCCTACCACTTGTGTTTCTGACCAGTAAAGTGGCTCAGACAACTTTCCAAAGGTTTATCAGCAAAGACAGTGCTCATGCTTGCAAGCATGCTAAGCCATCATTCCTGCTTCCATCAGTCTGAGAGTATTTCCATCATGGTTTTCATGAGGTTGGAGAGCAGCACCCTGTCTCAGCTCTTGGACTTATTAATGCCTGTATGTATCTCTTTTTCATTGCTCACTATGTCATTTCTTAATTGTGCTCTTTATATTTTCAGTTGCCAACAATAAGGAAGCTGCTCCTAGTGTCGATGCTTTGTACAAGAGTTATAAAGGATTGACCATGAGTTGTTTTACAGTGGAGAGACCTGAGCATCTGGCCAAGCTTGAGAGTGCCCTCATGGATGATGTCCTTGTGCTCCAGCACACTCTATATGCTGCTGAGAAACAGCACACTTTTCTCCTTGATGAACTTGAATGTGTCCAGTCTGCCCTTCATCCCTTGGTTCCAGCATCAGCAGACTCTGAAGATCCTACTCCTGTGGAGACTGAGACTCCTTCTGCTCCTTTCACCTTATCTAATGTGAAGCCTCTGTCTGCCTGATCCCAGGGCAGTAGTGATACTTGACATCTATGGTACTCATCCATCATCTGGTCATCTCTTACTGGTTTGTCATGATCTCTTATTCTCCTTTTCTATCTTTGACTCCAATGTAGCACTCTTTTAAACCTTCTCATATCGCAAGTACAGTAGCTAGTGCTGTATATTCTGTTATTACTTAGTAATTATATGCCTGTAGAAGGCATTTCTGCATTCTGCACTAATCTTCATCTAAGTTAACTGTGTCTGACACTTTTGGAGTTGGTGATTCTTTGAACTCTTTAGTGAAGTTCAATAGCCATCTGTCTTTTGGTTCTGGTGACTCTAATATCTTTCACAATTCTTTTGAATCTTTGCACAGCTAGTGCATGACCTTATCATCAATTTCTATAGAATTGCATGTGAGGTATGGGATCACACAGAATGCTGCAATCTTTGAATCAATTAGCATGCTATCTAGTTCTGCCAGGATGTAGTTTCCTGCACTTGAGCAGTCCAGTACAACTAAGAAACTTAGATACTATAGTTTCATCTTTGTATTCAGTGCACTCTCAATCTGTGTATTGTGCATTAGAACTAAGTCCCCTCATTTGAAGTTATAGGACTTAATTTTATTTGCATGCATTATCGCATACTTCAATGTATCTTGTTTCTTTTTCTCATCCATATTATTGTGCATCTCTGCTACTTTATCTGCATGTTTCTCTAGTGCTATCATGCACAATCCATGGAGCTCCCAATCCTCTATAATTCTCTCTGGATACTCAACTAGCCATGTTGCTTTTAGCACATCAAGTGGTAATATTGGATGTGCACCAGTAACCACAAAAAAGGGAGAGCATCCCATCCATTTTCTGACAGTGATTCTATCAGCCCACATCACTAGCATGAAGTAATAATGTCACTTTTTTTCATTTCCCCCACATGCTTTGAATAGGCTCTGCTGCACATCACAGTGCAGTTGTTCTATCCTTCTATTGGCCTGTGAGTTGTATAGAGATATTCTTATCCCCTTTATACCATATTTCTGTTTTAAATATGCTACTGCAGCTTTAAATTGCTTACTGTTATCCATTATTATCAAGGAAATACAGCTCTACCAGCATATGATATCTTCAAATAACCATTCTGTGATTGCTTGTGCAGTTTCACTCACTAAGGTTCATCCTCCTGGCATATGTTGCAAGTGCTAACAAAGCATGAGATATTGCACTCCATCTCTAGCCACCAAAATCTCTCTTTAATCAACATTTTTATCATATATATCCCTCGGTGTCTTAGTTGATCATATGCTGCTTTCATTATATACATTCTCTTCTCTGAGTAGATGACTAGCTTATATTCTGGCTCTATATCTTGTCTATATAGCTTTCCTTTATCCACCATGAAGTTCTTTGCATATCTTATAAAGTTCTGGTATTGATTATCATTAAATCCAGGTATCCACATGGTAGGGTTCTCATGCCACTGAATTACCTGTGGCAATTGCTTATCTAGCATGTTTGCATACCTACTCCTTCATGATTCATCATAACTCGCTATGTCACTGTACTCAGCAGCCTCAGAGAGCAGTAGTCCCATGTTATACAGTACTGCATGTGTTTCACCATGCTCTAAGGCTTCCTGTATTACTTTGTCTTTATGGAAGTCATGTACTGCTCTGGCAACTGTTACAAAGCTATGCTGAGTGTCAATTCTCTCTTTAAATTCTGCAATGTCTTCTATCTCATCTTCAGTCCCATTGATGAATTTCCATGGTTCCTTATCTGGTGGACTATATTTATCTTCTGGATTTGAGTATTCTTCATCTCCTGGCTGGAAACTGCACCTAGATAATTCATCTGGTGCATGTCTCTCATCTGGGATATATACCAATGTGAAGTGAAACATCAAGATAGACTTTATCCATCTGTTTATTGCAGCATTAGGAAACTCATCAGGGTTTCTAAGCATTTCAGCAATGTATTTCACATCTGTCTCTACTACCAATTTTCTCACTCCAAAGAGCCAATGTCAGCAAGCATGCAGGGCTCTGAATAGTCCATAGAGCTCCCATTTTGGTTGTGAAAAGCACACTTCTCACTCATTTAAAACAATAGAACCAAAGTGTGCATATCTCCTTTGCTTTGGATTATCTGGATCAACTTGACAGATATGGAATCCGACTGCATGGTATGATGTGTCTACTCCCAAAATCACATCTGTGTCCAGCTCATAATCAATTGGCATCAAAGATGGACTAGAGCGCAATGCATCCTTCAATATCTGCATCAATTCTCTCTGCTTACCTCCAAATTTGAATGGTACTTTTAAGCAAGTTAATCTTGTCAAGGCATCTGCTTTCTTGGCATAATCTTTAATGAACATCCTGTATACTCCCACTGTTCCCAGAAAAGAGTGCACATCTCCTAAGTCTTCATATGGTCCCCATCACATTATCACTCCTACTCTGTCTGTTTCAGATTTTCTGCCTTTATAGATGCAATGGTGTCTCACAACCATGATTTCTGACATGCAAAGGACTGCTTTGTGACCAGGGAAAGTTCCCCCAGCATATTTCATGCATTGTACCACTCAGTTCATATTCTGGAAGTGTTTCCACACAAATCTGTGAATCCCTCAGTTTTCCTTGATAGTTTCATATTCTCCACCTTTAATTTCATAGCATGTTTTTGGTCCTCATACCAGAACATCATCTACATATGGTATAGTGATATGGGTACTTCATCCTTCAATATATAAGTTATATCATCATAAAATATTGGTACTGAGTTTGTCCATCTTATAGGCAATGTCACAAGTCTTAGCATGCCAAATGGTGTTTGGAATATAGTAAGATCCCTAGATCTCTCATCTAAGGTTCTCTCATTATATTCTATATAGAGATCCAATGTGCCTCTACAGGAACATCCTGCAAAGTGCTTTGCTAGCTCATGTGTCACTGGAGGCACTCCTGAGTGCTTGATTGTGATCACATTCAAGAGCTCCAGGCTATGGACTAGCCTCAGGCTCTTTTCATCTTTCTTAACCACACAAAACCAATGTGAGTGATAAGAGGAGTTTGATGGCTCATACACTCCTGCATTAATCTTGGTTTTTATTATCTTGCATACCTGATCAAATATTCCTGGTGAAATTGGTATGTTCTTCTGTATCTAAGGAGTATGCTCTACAGCTGGGATGGTTACTGGCAGAAAGTACTCCTCCTTAAAATGGCCTCACTTGGTATCATCCCAAGAAAATCCCTTGCTCTGCAGGCACATAAACTCATACATGAGCTTGCACTCTTCTGGCTATAGAAAGTCTTCTGAGTGAACTCTGTTGATTATCTCTTTGCACTCTTGGGTGTACCTTTCTGTTGGTATATATTCTGGTGGATGGATACTCAATTGAGGCATGCTTGCCAAAGGGTCTCCTCTAATTTCATGCAGAATGCAGAACTCTGATGGTAATCCTCCTGTAATAGGTCATATCTTTTGTGCTACTGGCTTATATTTCTTTGTTGCAAAGACATCTTTTACTGATCCTACTGCAGGTGGAGAATACTCCATGCTGACTTTGTCAAAAAGTTTAATTTTCATGCATCACTCTGAGCTTGCTTTGCATTGTATCTCACTTACATTCTATGTGATGTCTCTTGCACATGTCTCTGCACCTCTGTCCTGTCTTTTCATGTCTTTTATTTCTTTAAGTGCCCCAAAATACAAGGATAAAGTCCTATGCACTCTTGTATTCTCACCATGCACCATTGAGCTTGCTACAGCATATACTGTCTGTAATTCTTCTTTCTCAAATACATGTAATCTTGTGGGCTTTGCATATGTGCTGATCATCAGATCACCATCTTGATCAGGCTCTATTATTAGTGCTAAATCTTTTTGATTGTTAATCAAATCACTGATCATTGAAAACTCTTGCTTACTTCGCATGTCATAAACATCTTCTGTCTCCTGGAGAATGTTGGTACCATCACACACTGTGCAGAGTTAGGATTCTTTATCTTAATAGTCTGTCCTCCATCTGCTGTATTATATACCATACTTGTTGTTAGTGCATCAAAGGGTCTATCAAGCAATACATCATAGGCAGGATCCTTGATGATATATACTTGTAGATATACTGTGATATCACTGAACAAGAATGGGATATTCTTTATCATCTCAAGGGACTTCTTTACTTGCTTATTTGCAGATTGCATGTTTATTACTTTGTCTGGGTCATACATCAATTCCAGGCTCTCAGCTACTCAGCTAGACATCAACACAATCTGTGAGCCTGTATCATACAAGCTTTCAAACCACTCTACACCATTTATAAAAGGGAAGACAGAGCACAAAGTCTGTGAGTCTTTAGCTACATAGATCTGCTTTAGAACTTCTCCTTTTTCTGTGGCATCATTCAGATATTGCTCCAAAGAGTCTTGCCAGACCACTGCACCTTCAGGAATCCCATTGCTGGCCTCAGTGGTCACCACAAAGTTTCCTTCAAATGAGATCTCTGATAAGTATACAGCATCCTTTAGTAATCCAGTTCTCTTATCATCAGTTGTCTCTGCAAAAGGAAGGGCCTCAGTGACTCTATCTTCGCTGTCTGACTCTGATTCTTTCTCTATGACTAGCCCAAACTGTTGCTTGCCATTTTTCTTGGATTTATCCAGGGATACTCATTTCATAGTCAACTCTTATTTAACTGAACTGCCAATCTTTGACAGAGCAAGCAATTCTCCAACTGTCATGACTATAGGAGACTTTATGAGTCACTCTAATATCTCAGGTGAGTTTGCATGCTCTTCTACTGGTGCTTTCAACTGGTAAGCCACTAATTTCTCCTCAGCCACATAGAGCACAAACCCTGTCTTCTTGGGCCATCTCCTTGATGGATCTCCCTTTCTACCTGCATTGGTAACATCTGGAACATTGAGATATAGCATCTCTGGTTCTGGAGTTAGACTGCACACAGTCAGTATGGTCTTGAGCATGGGATCCAGCCACACTTGCTTTTTGCTTGTTGTCTTTGATGGAAATTCTACTTCAGAATCATCCAGTGACATGTCTTCTCCATGTTCAGGCATGTAAAATTGCAAAAATTGCGAATACATGGACTGCATTCCAGTCCAGTAAGCATATAACAGAAAATAGGACTAGAGCACACAGAAACCTAGCTATCATGATAAACTGAAGTAATAATAAGCAGAGTGCATGGTCTAGTAACAGACTAATACCAGAGGGGTTAGGCTGCATGTGAGGTCCCAGCACTTCACCCTAAATGCACCAATACTATTACAAGAGGATATCCTAAAAATAGAAAGACTATGATTGAAATATGATCAGCAATTCTGATCACATTGATCAAAGATGCACAGCCATTGATGCACTGATGGGAAATGCCTTAGAACAGAAAACTGAGACCCAAAGAAAGATATCTGAGTAAATGGGTATTGAACAGAGAAATAGAATGATGACAACAAAGTAATAAGTAGAGAAATATTACCCCAGGAATGAATAGCATGCATACTTATAGTGCCTTAGCATGCATAACACAGTGAGGGACTCTGCATCATACCAAGAAATGGCACCTTTGATGAGTCAGATGGAATGACTGACTAGACACAGAGAAGCAGAACATAGCCATTGTGGCTGACTCCTGGTATGAGAGATAACCCCAGGGGTCTGAAACAGTTTACTACTGTCAGAGATGTCACTGGAAAAATAAGAAAGTGAGCAGACCTGGTGAGACCAGCTAGCTGATGTCAGCTAGTGAAGGAACAGTGAGCACAGCTCTTGCACAAAAGAGAATAAGCATGGTGACTGTGATATGCATGCAAATAATACCTGTGGGATCTGGCACAGAGTTCCACACTTTGAGGATACCATAGTAGGATTATATTAGTAAGTACCATAGTAGAGTACTTAAAGATGAGATTGTATGACTGGAGAAAAAAGTTTTCTGACCCCCCACAGTTGCAGTGTATTGGGCACAGAAAGCCTTGCACTCTAGCTTTGGGTTTGTGTTAGTAACTCCAGATGAGAGAATAAACTTATTATTGAATATCATTGAGAGAGCTGTGAGAACTAAGTGAGGCATCAAAGCTCATGAAGGACTTGGGCCCAGTTTGATAAGAGATTTTGGATTGCACTTTAATCTGAGAATAAGAGAGCAGTGTCTGAAGAGCATCATCTTGAGTTTTTGAGGTATTTGTAACATGCAGCACTACAGGTGGCAGAGGTTCAAACCCTTTGGTCTGTTGGATGGAGTTTTATTGTGTTTGTGTCTCTGAATTGCATAGGTTTGAATCCTGTAGGTCTATGATCAGTTTGAAAACTTGTGAATAGAGATCTGTGCTTTTGGTCATTTGTGGATGTGTTTGTGATTGGTTTTTGCTTAGAGCATGAAGCTTTGAGTTGTGTATTGTGTGTGTTAGGGATTTGAGTTGATCTGAGCTGTGCTTGGAACTATTTGAGAGTTTTGAGGGAGTGTTTCAACATACTGTATTGAACTGCAGTACCCTTTGCCTTGACGCCTGGCAACACCAGTTGCCACCTCTTGTTTTAATAAAATGAAAAGCTTTGAGACTTAGAAAAGCCTTGGACTGTTGTAAGTGTGCTATTGCCATTCATGTGCTGTGATCTCATTGAAAAAGACAATTATATTTGTTGATTGCTACTTTTATTGCATTATAATCCCCTCATGAACTAAGAGTTTTATGTGTGTGTTGGTGTGAGTGTGAGCAGTGGATAACACTCTGCTGTATCTGTTTTCACCTTGCATGCACTCAGATCCACTTCATCAGTGTATCCTTCACTACCTCAGCTCTAACTGCTCCTCTCTGTTTTTTATTTCTTATGTCCTCCAAGGGTGATGGTGAATCTGACCTGGCAACTCCATGAGTCATTGTATGATTCCTGCCCTCCTTCATTGAATGCCTAAAAAAACCCTGCTCTCTGTCCTTATCCAACAGTTCTTGCTCCACTGGTTCATTAGATAGTGGCCTCTTACTGTGAGTCCACATTTCTGACTCTTGGCTTGTCTGCTGCATCCTTATTGCAAACACCTGGCACTCCAGTTTCTATTTTTCTTGCAATAGCATGCTATAACCCTCTGAGACATAGAATAGCCCTGAAGTGTCTATAGCATTTATCACTATATTCTGGCTCTGCAACTTGCCAGCTTTCATGTGCACATAGTATTCATCAATGCACTCTTTCACATACTGCCCTCTAATATCTTTGGGTACCTCTCTCTCATCTGGTAGTCATGCTCTTCTATCAACCATCTCTATTTTTCTGGCCTTGATGTATGAGGCTTTTATGAAGCACTCACTCGAGCAGTGCTTATCTGTATCTCTACAGAAAAAGCATGCACACAAGTAATTCTGTCCATATTCCATTGCTCCTGGGCCTAAATTATATGCTGATGCTTGCATTCTATTAGCCTGCTGCTGCATGAACATCATGAGACTCTTCTGGTTCTCCATCATAGCTTTCTCTAAACTTGCAAGCCTTTTATCACTCACAGAGGTCTGCTGTTCCATGAAATCCTTTATGACAGCAAGCACACTCTCTATCTCTTCCTGTTTCACACCATGCTCTTCTACCACAGGTAAATTGCATGCAGCCATAGTTAATCAGTGCTATTTGTGTGCAATTGATGTTGAGGTTGAGATATCTCATGCCTCATCTCGCTTTCTGTCTATGGATGAGAATACATCTTGCAGTGCTGTTAATTCAGCATCCATGATCTCTTTTAGTTTATAGGGATCTGCATTATCTCACCTTGTCAATCCTGTGGGTGGTGGTAACCACTCTAGCTGTAGCTTAATGGACCTATACAGCTTGTCAGACATAGGTGTGAGGAATGAATCCACCAGTTCTCTGTTTGATAGTACTTTGTTTAGCACAGATGCAAGTACTTGGAATTCTCTTTTGAATGCTATAAACTGACTCTTGTCATTAATCTGGACTATGTCATAATGATGTACTAGCCTTTTGAGTTCTAATATTGCATCTCTATCACTGTCCTGCATGCCATCATAACAGTCTAGTACTTCAGATTTAAAGTCATCATATTTTTCACCAGCAGCAAAGCTAAGAAGCACTTTCCACTGGTGCTCTGTTTTGATATCTGTATAAGATATCACTGCTTTCTTTTTCTCCTCATTATCATCAACCACACACTTGTCAAAGAGGTCTTCTAACCTCAAGAAGAAGTGCTCAAGTTTCTTGGCATCAGAGAAACTCTCAAAGTGTGATGCAGCTTTTTCATTCAGTCTTGGCATTGATGATGCTATAGTTGCAAACTCAGTATTAGTTGGGATCATCAGATCTGGATTTTGGTTTAAATTAGGTTGTGAGTTTGAAGTAGAGAGTGGTACAATTTCTAAAGAGTTATCTTCACTGGGGTTGATCCAACATCAAAAAAGACTAAACTCAGAATTAGAAACTGGAGTGGGCTGTGATCCTGCTTTACTCCTGTGTTTCTATGCAGTGAGCTCTGTTTCCAAAGTATTCTGACTCTGTGGTCATGAGGTAAGAGAGTAAATTGGTGGCAGATGTATTCCACTTGCTGCTTTCTCTGCTCTAGTCCTTAGCTCTCGAGTTTGGTTGATTCCAGCTATTCTGACTCTTAATAAGTATCCACACCACTGAGAAAATCACACAACATATTTTCACTAGCTGTCTTTACAAGAAAGCATGCTAGCAGGTTTACTCTAAGAGAAGGAAACTTTAGATAGTTATTCACCCCATTAAAACAATTGCTTAAAGGAATCTCTTCCAAATCCAATTGTATTCATTTAAAACTACTTCTCCCCCCTTGTGGTGGGCTCCAGATGAAGTGGATCTGAGCATGCATAAGGTGAAAATAGAAACAGCAGAGCATTATCCACTGTCCACACTCACACCAACACACATATAAAACTCTTAGTTCATGAGGGGGTTATAATGCAATAAAAGTAGCAATCAACAAATATAATTGTCTTCTTCAATGAGATCACAGCATGCAGACAGTAATAGTGCACTTACAACAGTCCAAGGTCTCTTTAAGTCTCAAAGCTTTTCATTTTATCAGAACAAGAGATGACAACTGGTGTTGCTGGGCCTCAAGGCAAAGGATACTGCAGTTCAATACAATATGTCAAAACACTCCTTTAAAACTCTCAAATGATTCTAAGCACAGCTCAGATCAACTCAAATCCCTAACACACATAATACACAACTCAACACTTTGTGCTCTAAGCAAAAACCAATCACAAACATGTTCACAAGTGCCAAAGAGCACAGATCTCTGTTCACAAGCTTCCAAACTGATCATAGATCCACAGGATTCAAACCTATGTGATCCAGAGATACAAACACAATAAAACACTATCTGACAGACCAAAGGGTTTGAACCTCTGCCAATCTGCAGAAATAACACAAAAGCGCACACTAATCAAGCCAAAGGGTTTGAACCTCTACCATCTGTAGCACTGTGCATCATAAATACCTCAAAAACTCAAGATGATGCCCTTCAGACACCACTCTCTTATTCTCAGGTTAAAGTGCAATCCAAAATCTCTTATCAAACTGAGCTCAAGTCCTTCATGAGCTTCAATGCCTTGCTTAGTTCTCACACCACTCTTAATGATATCAATAATCAGTTTATTCTCTCACCTGGAGTCACTAACACAAACTCAGAGCTAGAGTGCAAGGCTTTCTGTGCCCAATACACCACAACTGTGAGGAGTTGAAAAACTTCCTTCTCCAGTTATACAATACCATATTTAAATACTCTACTATGGTACTTACTAATACAATCCTACTATGGTATCCTCAAAGTGTGGAACTCTGTGCCAGATCCCATGGGTATTATTCACATGCATATTGCAGTCACCATGCTTATTCTCTTTTGGGTGATGACTGTGCCCACTGTTCCTTCACTAGCTGACATCAGCTAGCTGGCCTCATCAGGTCTGCTCACTTTCTTATTTTCTTGGTGACATCTCTGACAGCAGTAAACTGTCTCAGACCCCCAGAGTTATTTTTCATGCCAGAAGCCAGCCACAATGGCTATGTTCTGCTTTCCTGTGTCCAATCAGTCATTCTATCTGACTCACTAAAGGTGCCATTTCTTAGTATGATGCAGAGTCTCTTGCTGTGTTATGCATGCTAAGGCACCATATGTATGCATGCAAAGCTCAGGATGGTATCTGCACTATTCATTCCTAGAGTAATATTTCTCTACTTGTTAGCTTGTTGTCATTAGTCTATTTCTCTGTTCAATACCCATTTACTCAGATATCTTTCTTTGGGTCTCAGTTTTCTGTTCTAAGGCATGTCCCATCAGTGCATCAATGGCTGTGCATCTTTGATCAATGTGATCAGACTTGCTGATTATATTTCAATCATAGTCTTTTTATTTTTAGCATATCTTCTTGTAATAGTATTGGCACATTTGGGGCCAAGTGCTGGGATCTCACATGCAGTCTAACCCCTCTGATATTAGTCTGTTACTAGGCTATGCACTCTGCTTATTGTTACTTCAGTTTATCATTATGATAGCTAGGTTTCTGTGTGCTTTAGTCCTATTTTCTGTTACATGCTTACTGATCTGGAATGTGGTCCATGTATTTACAATTTTTGCAATTTTACATGCCTGAACTTGGAGAGGGCATGTCACCACCATTCAGTAAGAGTGAGCATTATAGCAAGGAGTTCCTTGTCATAAATCTCATAGTTGTGCTCTGTGACTGTGAGTGTCTTTAAAAGGAATGTGACTGGTCACCATTTCCCATCCTGTTCCTGAGAGAGGACAGCCCTAATGGCACCCTCACTTGAGTCTGCTTCCACTTGAAATTTTCCATCCTGAGTTGGAATTACTAGGATAACATCCTCAGCCAATCAGCATTTAAGGTCATTAAACACTGATTGCTGTGATAGTCTCCAAGTCCATAGCACATTTCCAGTCAATTGCATCATGAGTCTGACTATCTTGCTATAGTCTCTGATAAACTGATGGTAAAAGTTGGTAAAGCTGAAAAACAACTGTAGTTCCTTCTTCTTGGTTGGTTTCAGCTATTTGGTTACTCCTGCCACTTTGATGGGGTCCATTCTGATGCTTCCTTCACTGATAATGACTCTGAAGTATTCAGTTTCCAACACCTCAAATTCACACTTCTCAGCCTTGAGAAAAAATCAGTGTTTCCTCATCAAGGCTAGTACCTGTCATACTAATTGCCAATGTTCCTCCTTGGTTTTGGACATGATTAGGATGTCATCCAAGTAGATCGTGACCTTCCTCATGGCAATGAGATCTTTGAAGATGTCATTCATCATCCACTAGAAGGTTGCCAGTGAATTTATAAGTCCAAAGAACATAACCATTAATTTGAACAAACTACAGTTAGTTCAAAAAGCAGCCTTCCATTTATCACCTTCTTTGATGTGGATATTATTATATCTCCATTAGACATCCAACTTGGTGTAGTATTTGGCACCTCAGAGTTTGTCCATCAATTCTGAAATTAAAGGAAGCAGGTAATAATTTTTGATCATCATTTTGTTGAGCTTCTGATAATCTTGCACTGGTTGGAGTTTTTCATTCTTCTTCTTGATGAAGAAGAAGAGAGAGACTATCAGAGACTTTGATGGCTGAATCCTTCCACTAGATAAGTTTTCATTAAAAAACTTATCTAGTTCTTGTTGTTTATAGTTGCTAAGTGGATAGCACTTGCAGTTCAAGTTGGTGTTTGCATTAGAGATTAATTCTATAGCATGGTCCCAGGGCTTTAGATCAGGTAATTCATCAAAACTTTTCTTATCGAATAAGTCTCAAAAGTCCCATACCATTCAGATACCATCTTCTTGAATGTTTTTTCCTCCTTATCAGCATTGGCTTTTGCTGCTAGATCATTTGCATGATGGATAGCCCAAATGTGAATAGCTCTTTGTAGGTCAACAGCAAGAATCATTTCACTATCTTCTATCTCTTTGTCTCACTGATCCTCAGAGTCTTCATCCAGTAGTTCGAATAGAATTTTCTAACAATAACATCTGATGAAAATGATGCAGCCAGTCTTCCAGTTGATCAGTAGATTATGTTGAATCAGCCAATCATGACCAAGAAATATTTCTTTGGTTTCTAAGTCAGTTACTGCCAAGTTGATCTATTCTGAATGATCTCTGATAGTGAGCCTCAGCTCCACATATTCAGTAATTAAATGGGCTTGGTTCTTTGTCCCATCTGCATTATAGATAGAAATTGGGGCTGCCATAGCTCAAGTAGAGAGATTGTGCTTAGTGACAAAAGCATAGTTGATTGAACTTCCAGTGCACTCACTGTCAATTAGTGCAGTGACCATATGAGTGCTTCAAGATATAAGGGTCTTGATTTGAGCTTTGGCCAATAGGTCTTGGCCCAAAGTCTTAGATCATCAGATAAACTTTCATGGTTTATATAGTTTGTCGAGCCATTCCAGGGCTCAGCACTGTTCTGCTTCTTTCATCCCAGTGATCATGTCATTGATCACCTCCTCAGCTCAGGTCTTATATACCCAATTCTTGAGTACAATCTTTGCTGTTGCTTCATCCTTTGCATCCTTGATGGCTTGCTAAGTCCATTTGATGTTGAATGGTTTTAGCCAACCAATGGAGCTCTCTGCTTCAGTTTGGCCTATAGGTAGTTGAGTTCCTTTTGACTTGTCAGTTTGATGAACTTTTAGTGATGACTTATCTTTTTGGGGGCTCTCTGCCCCTGTTCAGCCATATGTCAGCAGTTGAGTTTCCAGTTTCAACTTCTGAGGTGATTTCAATGAATGAGTGATACTGTCAGATATATTCAAATGCACACATAGTTTAGACATAGGTGGTAGAACTATAGAGAAAAAGTCAGTCTATTCAATAACTGGAGATGACAGTCCACTCTTTGAAAATTTGGTCAAGCTAGTGGAATTGCTCACTGCTTGGCCATACCTTTTACCTCCTTGGGTTTGTCATTGGACCTGAGATCTTCATCTTCCTTCATTAACTCAGTGATCTGTGCCTGTATGTCTTCTCAGGTGCATTTATTCTTCTAGGGACAGTTTCATGCTATGTGGCTCTTCTGGCCACAATTAAAACACTTCCCTCCTTTCTTAAGATGATCCACATCTATCAGTTGACCCATTTTGGTATATATTGTGCCTGTACCAGTTTGCTTCTCACCAAATGAGGAAGTTGAGGCTGAGCCTCTAGGCTTAGCAGGTGTGGTCATATTGGAGATGAAGGGCTTCATGCTCTGTCTCTGATGTCTCTGTCCTCC